ATTAAAAAAAATCATTTATACGCGTATAAATAAATAAAAAATCATATTATAATGGTTTATGCTGATTTTCATCATCAATTATAGTTTGTTGGGATCCATTTTCTTTGTATAGCATCAATCATAATTAGTTATTATGATTATTTATTTGTTATTGATTTGCCCATTATATATTGCTGATTATTTAATTTTTCCTTAATAATTTAATGGCCTTAATTACATAATTTAATGACATTATTTGAAGATTTCTGTTAAAATATTTGAATAAAATACTTATTGGGGAATCTATTTAATTTTTGTGAACTTGATCAAAATTATGTATGCCAATTTGCTTTGGTATACTTTGTGTTTGGCCAAATTGCATAATGCATTAAAATGAATTTGAACTTTCAGATGTCAAATTTACGACATGACCAAATGTCCTCATCTATAAAAGTTATTGTTTAGCATATAGTAAAAAAAAAAAGGAGATGACAGAGTTTTTAAATATATATGTTACATGCATGATAACCCAATAATAAGATAAGCAGCAGCAATTCCATTTCTATTCATTGGTTGTAGGCAATAGTGTAATGTATGTATATATCATACAAGTGTTTCGAGCTCGTCACTTAATAGAATTTTTGAATCAGCTCGCATTAATAGCTCATATGTTTTTAATGGGTTCTCTATTTTGGATTTCTTATGCCGAAATTATTTATCGCTTAAAATATTATGAGCTTGCATGTACTTCTCATACTCGCAATTGCTTTTGTAAAACATGTCTATTTGAGTAAATTTGGTTACATATGTAGTTGATCAAAATAAATTAAAGATCTGCTAGGTTGGGACTAATATAATTTGCAGGTAAGTCCACATTGAGAAGGTCCGCGACGTACATGCTATGATCGAAAAACTTCGGAGCCCTTGTTCCGATGATAATAGTAGTAGGTCCGGCCCGCGAAGACCTATACGCTACGATCGAAAAACCTCGTAGCCTTTGCTCCAGAAATAACAATAGTAGGTCCGCGAGGTGAACCAAAGTAGAAGGCCAGCTATCTACATGCTAAGGTTGAAAAACTTCATAGCCCTTGCTCGAAAATAACAGGTAGTAGGTCCGGGAGGTGATCATTAAGGCTAAAATACCGCAGAGCTCTTGCTCGAAAACAAAAAAAAGTTCGTCACCTACTCGCAAGGGTTCAAACACCTCAGGGCGCTTGCCCGAAAATAAAGTAAAATGTTTGTACCCGGCTCGCCTTGGCCATCACCTCAAGGAAGCTAAAACATTTTGCACATGAACAAATGTAAAAAAGACTAGCTCCAATGAGAAGTCCAAACACGCTGACGCTCTAAGTCAAAATTTGTTGTTGGCCAAAATTGCAGGAAAGCGAGTCAAAAACAAAAACACTTGAAAATAATTCTATAAGAAAAAATTCATTCGTAAAAAACATTCAAGGCATTTGGACAATCGCTTCACTTTTATATTCTCCAGTGAACCACTTCGCTAGGTTCACTTGAGAATATGGCATAGTAGATGATGGGGCCACTTCGGCAAGGTTGGGTCAAACTCTCGATATTGGGCTTATTAAACAATATAAAGACAAGAGCATGTGGGCCAAGATTGATTTCTTGAGCCCAATATGCATCAAAGACATGGAGACTTCTAGAAGTTCGCACCGGAAGAAAGTTCGTTGGTACCTATCTCGATAAACGATGCCCGTGCGATATGCGATTATTGGGCTCGCTAGCTCATCCGAACTCGCAACATACAATAAAAGGGGTAGGTAGCGAGGTGAAGGAGAATTATAGAAGATCAAGATTGGGAAATATTTTCTCTAAATAGATAAGGAAATTAGTATTAATAATGGAGCAATCAATGTAAATCTCGACCAATTAAGAGATTCTAAGATAGGAAATGAGTGGTGCTATTTCCACCTCCAAATTATCTTAATTCACCACAAATTTATATACAATATCATAAATACCCTTCAAATTTATAAATCACCACCCACCTTTATATTCGCTAGATCCTCCTCTATTCTAAGTTCTTCTTCTTCTTCTTCTTCTCTTCTTTTTTTTTTTTTTTTTTTGCAATGAAACCTAAAAGGGTAAAACAAAATTCTAATAATCGTCCAATTTGAACAGTTTCTGGGCAAATTGTGCTGAATGAAAAGTAACCTATTTTTCAAATTTTAATACACCAAAAATCTCTGGGTTTTTTTCCTACAAAAGCGCTCTTAATTTATTTTTTCAAGAACGTGAATTCTTGCACTTTTGATGTTCGGGTGTTTTTCTCTGACGAAGGTATCATTCACTTAAGGTAGAGATGGGATTGTAAATATTATTGTGGAAAATGGTAGAGTTTTTTTGTGAATATCCTAATTAGTTTGGTGGTGGACAATTTATGAATTATACATAATATGGGTAAAATAGAAAATATATTTAATTTGGTTGTGAAATAAGATATTTTGAGCGTGAAAATAGCACGTCTCTAGGAAATAGCCACACACAATTGTCTGTATAAATAAATGTAAAGACCCAATTACAAACACGATTTCAATAATCGTCAATAACACTTCTATACTCTCTTCCAAACTCTCTCTATGTCTATTTAAATGTATACTATCCGTTCGTCGAATTCATCTTCTCCGGCTAAAGACCAGCTTTCGATGGATTTTCTGGCGGTCAAGGATGTCGGACTTGGAAGGAGATCTTGAGGGTGTAGATTCTACACCATGACCATATATGTGCTAGAATATTTTTTTACTTCACTAAACTTACCTACTTTGTCCATGCTTGGATCTGAATCTCAATACAATCAAAACATAAAAGTTATAGACTTTTTTTGTTATTTTTCTAATGCAATATGAATCGATAAATTTAAAATTTGGATGAGAGAGTACGGAAAACAACGAACAATGACAGTGAAACGAAAATTGAAATAGTTTCATGTACTGATTTTTTTATAAGTTACTAAATTGATTAGTTTTGTCCATGTAAGAATTGAAGCTCTAAACATCAAAACATAATTTTTTTGGATTTCAAATAAAATTTGACTAAACTCATTTGGAGTTCAGATGAGAGATTTATGAGCAAAACACTGAAATAATAATTTAAAAGTTTATTGTACTAATGTTGTAGTCTACTAAACCCGTTTGTTCTACGATATTTGAGTAATGGTGGGCATAAGGGATAATATTCGATAATATTCCATGCAGCGGGTAGGCATCGAAAATCAGCAATCGAAGAGAACAGTACGTAGCTCAATTTCGGTTCGACTCAACCTTCGATTAGAGCTAGTCAATGGTCAATATGCAGTTAATCAGGTCAATGAGTTGTTAATCTCATGGAACTCAAATAGTCGTTGGATTACGGGTTTATTTAACGGTTCGGTTTTACTTAAACATAAAACAAATATTACCTAAAAATTCTTTTCGGACTTATTAAACGTATATATTCTGATCTTCTTTTTGTATATCCATTTTCTTTTACAGTCACAAAAGAATTTATTCAAATAAATATTTCTGACTTCTTGCAGAAAAAATTGAGTTTCAAACATAAAATTAAATGTTCCAAAATTATTATAGTATTCATATATATGTTCAATATTGTTTTCTTATGATTCAATATTATAATGAAAGAAATGTATCTAACGTGCAATTTTCTAATCAAATGTTTACGACTTCCATAGTAGCTACAAAATCATATACTTTTAGAATTATGAAATAGAAAATTATGCCAATTAACATATAAACCTACAATAATTAATAATATATATAATGTTCAATCTACCTACAAATCATTTATTTATTAAAATCCATTTACTTTTATTATTATTATTATTATTATTATTATTATTATTATTATTATTATTATTATTATTATTATTATTATTATTATTATTATTATTATTATTATTATTATTATTATTATTATTATTATTATTATTTATTATTATTATTATTATTATTACATGGCTTTATAAATGCTCATTACCACACCCGCACACACCTAAAGTGGGGAAAAATACCACGTAGAAGTGACGCAAGATCAAGGGAGGTCATGGCCCCTCTAGCACTTCTCAAATCTCTATTAATTTATAAAAGTAATATAAAAATATTGTGTACCGTAGTATTAACGGCCTCCCTTCAGAATATTATTAATGCGTTCGATCCATCACATTGAAAATTCTGACTCTACTAATGCCACTTAGGCTAAACCTAAGCGATGTTAAATCAGCTTTTTAATTAATTTTTATTCTAAAATATCAATTTGCCTGGAGAACAATGTAAATTGTAAGGCATGCAAGCTCCTCGAGGTCGATTCCAAGATTAAACCTTTTAAAATCGGCTTAATTCCACTTTGCACATTGAAATGGAGTCGTTTGGCATTTTGTACCCTTGAAAACTAATAATAGCACATTACACCCACAAAATATAATAAATCATTCACAATCCACCTTGAATTGAATAATAAAAGAAATTTCATTTTATATTACTTTTTTTTCCATGATGCAAAATACCGATTAAATTGTTATTTTCTTCAATCCCACCCTAATTTCAAGCGCACAAAATGCGAAAAATAAAAATCACATCGAATTATCGAAAAAACTATATTTTTTTACAAAATAAAATAAAATAATCTTTTATCACTAGATATCCGATTGATGGATCTTTTATTGTAATTTGTGGATTTATTAGTCATACAAATTTGGAATAAATATAGTTTTAAATTTACTTAATAACAAAACAGTGGAAGCATTTTTTTTGTAAAATATATTTTCCTGAAAAAAAATTATAATTTTGAAATATGTTCATGAGATGTATTTCAAAATATAATACCACTAAAATTATTAAATTACCTTTTCTAGCTTTAAAAAAGTTAAAAAAATCATTTGGGGTGCATTAGCCATCATTTATTGTATTTTGAGGGTGCAAAGTGATATTAATTTGTTTAATGGGCTCAAAGTGTTGAAATGCTATATTTCAAGGGTGCAAAGTGGGATTAATTAAGCCTTTAAAAATCGGAGCGTGTGTAATAGCCGTTTAGTGAGCCAACGGCCACGATGGAGCGGATTGTTTCCATAACGTTTATCTGTTCCCCCAACGGTCGAAAAATTCAACCAATCAAAAATTGTTCCCTAATACAGTTCTTCCCCCTTTCTCTATATTTTCAATCATCGAACCTAAATCAAAATCAAATATTCCAATCCAAAATTCATCCCCCATTCTCTGTATTTCCGATCATCGATTACTGAAATTTCTTCTTTCACTGAGATAATTCGAACCAGTTAGAGAGAGAAAAAAATGAGTGTGGTGCAGTTTCCAGAAGCCATGGATTCTTCTTCCGCAGATGTTCAGATATGGAACAACGCCGCTTTCGATAACGGAGGAATCTCTGAAGATTTTACGGGGAGTAGGCAATCCTGGGGTTCGTTGAAGTCGGTGTTCGCAAACCCTAAATCGTCGTTCGATTCGGTTTCCGATAAAGAGAATCGGAATGATGTTCTGGAGAATCAGATTTCGTCTGTTTCTGTTTCTTCTTCTCTCAACAAGTCTTCAAACGCAACGCCGTTCAAGCCGGTCAACGCAGATCGGGCTGCCGAGAAATCGAGGATTAAAAGGGGTCTTGTTGATGAAGATGTAGTTTTGAAGTTGAAAATTAGGGATGAGAAGAAAATTGATGAAGAAATCGAAGAGGTTGAGTCTGAAATTTGTAGATTGAGTTCAAGATTGGAGGCTCTGAGGCTCGAGAAAATCAAGAGGACCGTAAAAGCCGTCGAAAAGAGAGGAGGGAGAGTTGTGCAGGCGAAGTTTATGGAGCAGAAACAGAGTGCTAAGAATGAAGAGATTTCAGTTCCATGTTTGAGTAGTGCAAGAACAAAGGTTCAGAGAAGGGGGATCAGTTTGGGGCCCGCCGAGATTCTTTCTGCCGGGGGCGGCGGGCGAAGAGGGATGAGTATGGGGCCCACCGAGATTTTCGGAGCGACGAAATCGAGGCAAGATACAATGATCAAAACCACCCCTCTTCAGAGTAGAAGGAAATCTTGTTTCTTCAAGTTGCAAGAGATTGACGAAGAGAAAGCGGTGCTGCGCAAGGAGAGGTGTAGCTTAAGTCCGAAATCGAGAAAACTCGCAGCAAAGACTCCTTCAAGGCAGGCTGTAACCACAATTTCATCGAGAAAAAATCTGAAGAAAGAAGATGCGGTTATCAGCTCGATTCATCCCAAGAAATTGTTCAAAGATGGGGAAAAGTCGGTCCCACCGACTAATAAGAAGCCGTTAATAAGGCCGGGGAGAGTTGTGCCCAGCAGGTACAATCAGAGTACAACGACAACTAACGGTAATCAGAGTGCATCGGTAGTAATGAGAAAGAGGTCTTTGCCGGAGAATGATTTGGAACAGGGCAAGAGAGACGAAAAGAAACGGTCTTTATCGGGTGATGATGCGAACGAGAAGAAGATCAATTTAGGCACGGAAAGCCGTGTGAAGAAACGGTGGGAGATTAATCCAAGTGAGATTGTGGTTCATGGTAGTACTAGTGCGGTTGAGGCGGATTATTTGCCGGAATTGCTTCCGAGGATTAGGATTGGTCGGTGCAAGAACGAGAGCCCAAGGGACTCCGGGCCAGCTAAAAAGGTGGTCGAGTTGATTGGAAAGAAGTCGTTTTTTGGGAGTGACGAGGAAACGGACATTGCATCGGTTTGTCAAGCACTTAGCTTCTACGGGGAAGGGGAAGACGAAGACGAAGAATAAATTCCCGTTCATCATCGATTCTTGATGACGCATTTGCGAGCGGGGTTGTTTTTGCTTCTGTGTTGAGTAATGTAGTTAGTATATAGAAGCTGCTACTTTTGTTGTGAAAGCTCGAATAAGTAAGTGGATTTAGCTCGGGTTTTTTTTTTCTTTTCTGTATGTGGTTTTTTTAATATGTTGAGACTGTGGCCAACGAGCATACTCGTGCTTTTTGTATGTAAGAAAGTTGGATCTTTTTACTATCGAAATTGTTTTTTTCTATGCCTTGTGATGGTGGATGATGATATTATTGCAAGTGGAAATTGTGAATTCGCCAATTTTGTGCTGCGTTTTTCGTTAATTGACAAAGGGAAATTGATTAAAGCATTCATCTTTTCAAATAGCCTTATGCATCTACCATTGTCTTATATATATGCAGTGTGTATGGGGGAGAGGGAGAGAGAGAGAGAGAGAGAGAGAGAGAGAGAGAGAGAGAGAGAGAGAGAGAGAGAGAGAGAGAGAGAGAGAGAGAGAGAGAGAGAGAGAGAGAGAGAGAGAGAGAGATTTCATTGCTCTTGGTCTGTTTATCGATCTTTACCGTGCATATCTTCCTAATTACAGTATCTTCTGTCACATCTTGAAATTCTTTCGTCGTTAACGTTCCTGAATTGTCTTTTTCAGCAGCTTTAAATATTTCCGATATATCTTCCTGAACGAAAAATAAACCAATCATCACCATGAAAATGCACTTATTTTCGAGAATTGTTACATCAAACGGAATGAATATCAAGTGTAGAATATTAAAATGGTGCGATGAACTTTAATGTAGGCTAGCAGCGTAGCTAATTAAATTAGGGTTTTTTGCAAAACCTACCCCTGTGAAATCTCTAATTGCCGAAAACACCCCTATGTTAAAAAAATTAGCAAGGACCCCCTACAAAAGTTAGTCAAAGCCAAAAAGGCCCCTGACAGGTTATCGTGCGCTACACTCGCCGTATGTGCGTCTGGGACTGGGGGTGTGTTTTTTGACCTGAAATGACCTAAATATCCTTCATATTAGAAGTCTTAAAAATTACAGACTTACCCTAGAATTTTAAGCACCAAATTGAAGTTTTAAAAATTTTCAATTCGGTCCTTCTTATATTCAAAAAGGCCATCTTTCTAGACCCATTTTCTGATTTTTTTTTCCTGTAAAAAACATCAATCGAATCCATATTCTCAAGCTCCAGAAAAATTAAAAGGTAAGAAGACAAGGGGAAGAGGACAGAGCTTAAGCCCCATTTTCCATGTAAAAATTTGGAAGAAAAAATTTTGATTTTGACCTTCAACTTCACCATTCTTGGTAACCCAAAACTTGAAATTCACCATTTTCGATAACCCAAAGTTCAATGGAGAAGAATGTGTTTCAAGTGGTGGTGGTGCGGCGGCGGATGTGGTGGCACGGAAGCGGATGTGGTATGAAAAGTTGGGTGGGTTGGGTTGAGGCGTTGGGTTGGGTGATGGGAAGAAGATATAGTCCATTTTCTTTTTCCTTTTTTATTTTATTTTTTTTTATATAAATTTTATATTTTCTTTTATTTTGTTTTATTAAAATTAAAATATTATTAAAAACTAACTAGGGATATTAGAGTCATTTCACGTAAGTCAACAACTAATTTTGAAATAAGGGGCTCTGTATTTTTTTAAATAAAACATAGGGGGGTTTTCGTTAATTTTTTTAACACAGAGTCTTTTTCAACAATTAAAAATAACACAGGGGGTCTTTGCTATTAGCTCAATTAAATGACCATGATACATTTATGATCTACAGTAGCACAATCACCGAGAGCATATACATCGTCGCATCCCTTTACTCGTTAGGCCATCTCCAACAGTTGTTTTAAAATCGGTTTTCTATAACTATAATTTAACAAATGAACAGTGTTATACAACACCACTTTTTACTATATACTCCAACAACATTGTTTATAATTTACACAATAATTATATTTTATTATTTTTATAATTAAATTTAGAATTAGTCCATCTGCACACAAATACTTTCATCAATTTATAATTTTAACCTCAAATAGATACATACATGTAGTTCTATTATTTTATTAGAATTTATTTGGAATTAAAACATTTTGGCTTTAAAACAAAATGTAGTTTCACGGATATACCTAGAATTTATTTATGATTAAATTAATTTGGTAGTTAAACCAGCTGGGGGTTGAATTTTGTAGATTTAGAGATTGCAATAGATGGTTGGTGATTATTTTATTATTTTATTATTTTTACACATTTGTTATATTTTAATTTTGGTTTCTCAATTTTGAGAAACCAAAGCCAGATTTTACCTAATTTTGCATTTTTCCATTTCATTGTTGGAGCTCTGTTTTGGAGTTCAAATTGTGTAAAAACTGTAAATAATAGATTTGCATATGACTGTTGGAGTTGCTCTTACCATTCATCGGTTGCTAGAATACATCTATTTCCCTACAAACAAATTTAAAAAAAAAAAAATCACACTGATTTATAGAAAGTAGAAAATGCTAGGAATAAATATATGGGGTTTTTATGCATAAGTCCCCAACCAAATATGTTTATTATTCTAGGTTTAGGGGATATATCTCTTTCACCGACAAGCTCATCCATTTAATATTTATTATAACTAAGGAAACATTCATGTATATCCCAATATTACCCTCAACCATTTATACCCAATTCTTAATTGTAACCCCAATTTATCAATTTTGTCCGTCCACAAAAATCCAATTTTGACCACAAAAATTCAATTTTGACTTTTTTTTTAGCATAATTTAATATGCTCCAATTTCATCCTTAACTTAATTTAATCTCAATTTGACCCCAAATTTCACAAATTATTCAATTTTGACCCCAATTTTTTTTTAAAATTTTTTTTTTTCAAAACAATTTTTTTTGCCGCCGGATTCCGGCGTTGACTTTTCAAAAAAAAAAATTCTTTCGGATTTTTTCGCCGGTATTCGGCGTGGACTTTTTTTTTTTATTTTTTTTTTGCTTTTTTTTTTTCTTCCGGATTTTTTCGCCGGTTTCTGGCGGTCTCCGGCGTTGACTTTTTTTAGTCTTTTTTTAAGTTTTTTTGTTTGTTTGTTTTGTTTTGTTTTTCCACGTCCGCCGCTAAACGTTGACCGTAATTATGTTGTCACTAACAGTAAGTTAACGTAATTATACTGTCAATGATAGTTAATTAACGTAATTGTACTGCCGTTGACATTACATTTATGTAATTGTGCTGCCGTTGACAGTAAATTAATGTAATATTATTACTTTTTATTTTATTATTTTTTTTTATTATATTACTGTCGTTGACAGCAAAATAACTGTAAACACAATAATATTACTGTCAACAACATCAATATTATTATTTTGTTTGGGTTTTTGTTTTGTTTGAGTTATTCACGGAGTAACGTAATAATATTACTGTCTATTATTGTAATATTACTGTTGTTATAGTAATATTGTTGTCAACCACATCAATATTATTATTTTGTTTAGATTTTTTGTTTGTTTGAGTTATTCACGGAGTAACGTAATAATATTACTGTCTATTATTGTAATATTACTGTGGTTGACGGTAATATTACTATTGTTATAGTAATATTACTGTCACTCACAGTAATATTAATTCTTTTGGTTTTTTTTTTATTATGTTTACATTTGTTGAACGGTCAACACAGTAATAGTACTTTATTACACAATAATAATGAGTTTTGTTGCGTTAATATTAATGTGCTAGAGATTAATATAGCAATATTACTGTGTTAAACTATAGTTTAGTTAATTTTACTGTGTTTAACAGTAATATAGTTAATATTACTGTCAATCACAGCAATATTGTTGTTTAAACGGAAAAAAAAAGTTAGAGAATAAAAGAAAAGAAGAAAAAAAAAAATCAAAAAAGTCAACGCCGGAATCCGGCAACGCCGGTCTCCGGCGAAAAAATCCGGATGAAAAAAAAAAGTTGAAAAGTCTACGCCGGAGACCGGCGTGAAAAAAAAGTTTTTGAAAAAAAAAATGTTTTGGGTCAAAATTGGTCAAATTGAAGTTAAATTAAGTTAATGATGAAATTGGAGCATATTAAAGTATGAGGGGTTATTTTAATGCTTTACAAAAATCTGGACCATGTGTAGACTTATGAATAAGTACCCATTGATGGGTTTATTTGTAATATACCCAATATATATTAGAAGCAAATAGATAATACAAAAAATAGATTGCGGTGAGCGTGGATCGAACACGCGACCTTCAGATCTTCAGTCTGACGCTCTCCCAACTGAGCTATCCCCGCTTGCTGATTTCATAGTTTGTGTTATGTAATTATCCTGACGGAACAAAACAAAGTGATAGTGAACAGAAAGAAACATGATTTTAGTGTGTCTTAAAATCCAGCTCATTGTTGACATTAATAAAGTTTAAACTGTACAAAAGCTGTCATAGTTGAACAATGACCATTTTATTATTCGTTCACAATTATCAACTTTAATATACTTGTCATTTGTTCTTCGCGTTATTTCTCTTCGCTATTATTTGCAACATTTGGACATACTTAAATGATTATATTTCATTAAAAATATTATGAATCCTGATATTTATATGATAATTGAATTTAGCAAATGTTGATTTTCCATCTACAGTTTTGTATGGTTTAGGTAATATTGGCCGGTTTTTGGAACTGGATTGGAATATATACCTTAAATTCCAATTTGATTTTAATTTTCAAAAATATTCCAAAAACTCCAATTCCTCTCCTAAATTCACATTTTGAACATAATATTATTATATATTTGATATAATAGTTGACTAAAACATAAAAATTTGAGCAATACCCTAGTTTGGAAAATACATTGTACTAACTACCATTTATTTTAGTCATTTTTTCACACATAAATCTTAGTTTTAATTAGTAAGAACCCCTTAATATTGTATTAACAATATTTTACCATTTTCATTACAAACCCTAGCTCACTCACACAATTTCACCCACAACCTTCTATATACCATCTCTTCCCTTTCTTCCATTTGTTGCACCAAAACTCCTCCGGGGGAATACGAATCCCGTTCTCTTCACCGTCATTTTGTAGCGAAGAGACCACGCCAGAGCTATATATGAAGGTGGAGAGGCACAAGAAAAGGGTCGACGGAGGAGGTACATTGCGAGCTAGAATTCTCGTGCATAATTCACACCATAATTACCACCATCAACGTCATACTTTAAACAATAAAAGATCGGGTATCTAATTCACGTTGCTGGTGTAGTGAAAATTAATTTTGACGCTACTGTCACCAGGGGCGGTGCTTTTGACCCCCAAGATTTTTTTTTTTTT